TTTTGATAAATATCTCCTTTTTGTTTCGCTTGGTTGTTACGAGTTTTTGAAAATTGTGTATATATCTTGATAGTGTAAAATTTCCTATGTGAACACCATTGCGTACTTCAATTTAGATCTTCTCAACCAATATTCTTCTTATCCGGAGTGAAAAAGTTATTTCTCTTATCCTTTTTGATGCATCTTTGCCTTTTGATTTTATACTTCTCATATTTTAATTTTATTTTGTAAATATTTATTCACAATGATATAACTTTTTGATGGCTGGCTCTACACGATTTTAATTAATTTTCTCAATACGGGAATGTGTAATAATTTTTAATATACATTTTTTACGTATTTATTATAATTTTACGTTCGGTGGCCAGCCGGTGCAAGCAGCGAGCGGAGTCTGGCAGGGTCGCCATGTAATGTCGTACGGTTGTTAAATAAAAGGAAAACGTGTTTCTCTATTCAAGACTTTAATTATACTGTTCTTATTCTACACTTAACACAAATATATATAATTTCGTGGAGCCACACTACAAAACGAATACTGATGTACATTGATTGTAAGTGAATTTAGTAGCGGGTCACAAACTTACTGCGACGTAATATTTTAATGTTAAAAGCAGCATGTGGAACACTAAAGGGTAAGTGAGCGTCCTATATCAGCAATACGAGTATACGTGTAACATTATGGAATACGTCCGGCTAAAGTTTGATGTTTCTTTTATTTCATGAGTAGATAACATGGCTATTCTCGATTAATAATCAAAATGCAGATGTCTCTGAAGACTGAAAAGAAATATTTATTTACCAGGAAAAAGATCTCTGGTTATCCTCACTTAACATACAAAACACTATGTACAAATAATATACGTACAAAGCATTATGTTGCTAATTTGCGCTGGTGTTCTTTATGTGTGTGATTATTTCTTGGTAGAATTCTACTATGTATTAGTAGGCAATTGGTAGAAAAGTTTTTATTTCTATGCACTGTACAGCAAGTAATGGAAAAGCTTTAATGGAAGAGATGCAACGTGCATTAACAACGGAAGATAAGACCGTACTTTACTCCTGACATTGAATAATATCACTTCGTATTAAGCTAGATTTCTGGACGATTTACTAATGTTGTTGTGATGTTAATATATAGTATTACAGGAATGTTAATCTTGAACAACTTGTTCAACCGTTATTTTTGTATCTTTAAAAAAAGCTATTCTGACACTAGATATCACTCCTGTTCTTTTGTATCGTAAAAGCGTCCGTAGACTATTTATACACTGTTCCTTGGGGAAATCAAATTCATAGCCCGAATCGACTGACCAAATGCTTAGCTACCTGTCTACTAGCAACACGGGACAACAACTACCTTAGTTTCCTCCGTAACCATAGCTGCTGCAAAGCACTCAAATCGTCGGGAGCCAAACATAAGCTAAAAAATAATGCTTATTGAAAGCCATTCTTATGTTGAATATACCATTGGTTTGAAATATACCTCTGTCCCGGGGAAGAATCATCAAGAACCCCCCCTCCCCCCAATTTTTTTAATTTATAACTTCTTCGAACTTTTGCAACACACTTTTGAAAACTATATATTCATTTTTAAGGTAATTCTTATGTTATCTACACTAACTGTTTGACAATAGAAATTAAATTACCAACAAACAGAGAAAGCCATAGACAATTAGTATTACTTTCCATCGCTTATTTTTATACACTTTTTCTATTCGATAAAGAGAAATACAAAATATACATTACAGTTTAAATATTACTGTTTTCATGCTTATAATATTTTGATAAAATTTACAAGTATTAAATATTTTGAAATATTTTAAGATTATGTAGTATTTCTATTTTTTTTAATGAAGAAAACAAACAAGTATCCAAGTCCATTCAATTACAAGTACCTATAGACCAATGAACGGTAGACACTGTTAAGTCTATTCCCGATTAAGAAATAAATGCAGACGCACTCAAAAAAACTAAGAAAGCGTCTTCATCTTTTCATCGTTATATGGTCAACCACGGTTGTTCTGAGGTAGGCGAATGGGCTTCGAAAGCATGATTAAATGTACCTTGGTAGTAGAATATTTCGAGACACGCTGTTCGCCCTATGATCTGTAAATCCACTACAATAACGCGGAGTAAACGCGGTAGGAAAGGATAACACCTGTCTTTTACCTTGTCTCCGCATATGGTGGCGGCTTTACACGCTAGTGGAGACACCACGAGACAGGCCGAGTACGAGTGTGTACATGGTGATCTCGTCGCGTCGCTTCGCGTCTCGTGGCCCTCGTGCGCTCTCGGAAGCGTGTCGGTTATTTGCGCTCGAGTCAAAGGGTCTCCTGAGTCTCGCGATGAAAACGAGAGCGTACTATATTTTATTGACCGTACGTGGTTCAGTTACGGTAAATAGAAACCATCCACCATCTTCTTCTTCGCCGTGGCTCATTAATTTTATTTTTAATAAATGTGTAAAAAGTTATAATAACTAATAGCACAAAGGCAAAACGCAGCAACAGTTTCATCTAGGTCCATCTCAGCAGGAATACGGAGTTCAAATGATACGAGTGTGTACATGGTGTGTTCTCGTGTCGAGCCTCAACACGACGAGAGGCACGCGACGCGACGAGACGAACGTGTACAGCCGGCATAAAACTTTATCGGGGTGGAACCTTAAATCAGACCGCTGCTGGGATATCAGAGAGTCTGCTGCGGTTGGCGCGAGTAAAGCTGCGGATGTGTTCCAAAGTGTGGTCCTGTCTTTATTCTATGAGGGTGCAGTCACAAGGTATTTTAGTTGGTGCTAGTTCGACATAAATCTTCCGCGTCTCCATGAGGCAGGTGGTATGCATCATTTTCTCAATCCCAAAACGAAAAATGGACCGCAATAGTTTTACGTCCTTTATATTTTTACAAGACACTTTTTATAAAATTCGTTTATTTATATTTATTTATTTATTAAATCTTTATTATTTTACACCTAAATCATATTGGTTACATTGGGCGGACTTAATGCCTTATGGCATTCTCTACCAGTTAACCCTGAGAGAATTAGACAGGTAATAGTTAGTAGGTGCTAAAAATATTAAAACCAACAGATATATATTCTAAATAAATATATATGTATACATACTAATATACATAAAGAAAATAAAAACAATTAACGAGGTTAAGAAGCTCCTTATAGGATTTCAAAGCCTATTAAATTCATTGGTTCATTCTTTTCCACCAAGAGATAAGAATATGTTTAAACGTTTTATAGAGATATCCTTTGCGATATAATACAAAGCTTTATATAGCTTTTTGCTTTCGTTCACCAAATTATACGAAACATTCAAGCGTATATTGAAATATTTGGCGATGTCAATTATCCGTGAACCACACGGGTAATTGAACCAATGCTGTCGTTCAAAAAAGGATCACCGAGGTCTATTAATTACTTGATTTACTATCATTTCGTTGGAACACTTTAAATTGAGCGGTTACAGTTTATTGAATTCGTAGAATACGTATATTGAAAACATTTTTAGGTTTTATTTTAATAGTAGCAAACAATATACTTTCACGTGTACTGATTCTGCTAGAACAGTGTTGTACTCTTTATGTTTCAAAAACAAACAGAAAATTGCAAGATACAGTTTGGTAGATGCGGGATAATACGAGTAAGTATATTGCGCTGAATAGTGCTATACTGTATGGATACTGCTTATTATTATTTTTTTTTGTTTTCTTTATTTTTAAGTTTTACTTTGTCGTTATTTTGTTATTTACAATTTTTTAATGTTTCAATTTGTTAATTTATAATTGCACAATATTTTTTGCGTTTTTTTAATATTATATTGTTAAAAATAGAATATTATGCAACATGTGTGTATTATTACTTATAATATGAATGAAATGGTCACGTATCTGTTAACTGTCCGTGGGTTCCTATCATTGGAGCCAATAAAATAATAGCGCTGCTGTAATTCTGGTATAGCATCTTGCTGACTCGGTAGCTATTTTGATGATGTAATTCAGTACTTGTATAATTTTTTTAATAACTGTTTTTATTAGTGAATGACAAGCTATTAATTTTAGAACTTTACCGGCAATACTGTGTTGTTAATTTTTTGTTACCCTTGACAATTCAGGTGTAACCTGCCCACTTTAAAATTATACTGTAATCTCTTATTATTCTTAACAAAACAAAACAGTAGGTGGTAGTTGTGAGCGGGTAAAAATAAAATACAGCTCTTCAGACTCCTAGTTTCTTTTAAAATTGGGTATAATAAATGGTCATAGGTAGATTCCACTAGATAAGTCAATACTGTAGCCCATAGATTTCTACATAAATTTTCGATTATAAATCAAAATGAAGATATTATTAACAATAAAAAGGGTTCATTCTAGTTTGTCCTTTCCCTGTCAAGTCAACCCTTCTCTTTAAGCCCCAATATGATACACTGCGCCTTAATCACGCTTAAGTTTTATGCTTATATTTATCTAAATTCGATAGTAATGAAAACAATTTAGAAATCACGTATATTGCAATTACAATAAAAACGTTTTCCAACTTTCATTTTCAAAACAGCCGGTACTTCTATGAAAATTGTGCAGGAATTTAACTGTTAAAATGTCTAAAATGGATTTAAGTAGATTAGGGTAATAATTAAAAATTAACAGTCTTATTCATAAAAATCCACTAAAATGGCGTTATAACAGTGATTAGTTAAATTGCTCAATAGTACTATTAAACCTATTATAAAATTCTCTATTCATAAACGTTCAATAAACCTATCATAGTTAAATCATATTTATGGAATACTTTAGTTTTATTAACCCCTTCGCTCTGACAGCGCGCGACATGTTATACTCCCGTTGTCATTCTGATGAATCCATAGACAAGCCACGGTAAAAAGAAGTTTGACATCGATTGTGACATTTCCGTCAAAATAAGCGTGGTTTTTTCGTTAAATCAATTCAAGAAATTGATTTGTTTTATATTCATATATAACTCAATAAAAATAATGGAAAACATTACATGTAAAAAGCGGCAAAGAAGTGAAAATTGGCTGGAGGAAGATAAGGTTAGTATGTGACTAAAGTAATTTTGTCATAGGTGCTTAGTGCACAAATGTTAGTTAACTGTGTTGTTATAATAGTATCCTTTTTCTTTCCATAGCATTTATTGATGGATTTGGTAAGGGAGCGTGTATCAGTAATTGAAAATAAAAATACTGATACAAATACAAACTCAAAAAAGCTAGCAGCATGGGCAGATTTATTATGCAGGTACCTATTTTTGTCTATCAATTTGTGAAGTGTTTGAAGATGAGTCTTCAACGGAATGATATTCTATATACGATCAGTTACATTATTATGCAATAGAAGCATGTCACTTCGTCTCTTGCTGGTCTAATGCATATAATCTTTTAAAGTCATAACAGTGTGCAGTCCACATAGTTCATAGAACATAGGATTGGACGGGTTGATCTACTATGAGAAAGCGCAAAAAAGTCCTCAGGATCACTTGCATTGTGATTGGCCCATTTTGAATATTAAAATGTCAAATATTTGTATAAATTGTGATTATACTTTTTTCCAGTTTCAACAGTATGTGTAAAGGTGGTACTCGCACTCTTCCCCAAATAAAATCCCAATGGAGCATCATTAAAATGACAAAAAAAATTAAGTGTGTCGAACGAAAGAATCTTCGCCAGACTTGTGGTGGTTCACATCCAACTACGAACCCTGAAAATGGAGACGACATTTGTTCATGGCTCCCTAATGAATTTGTCATTGACACCAATGAGTTTGATTCTGATGAAATAAATCAGGTATCACATACGTCAAGATTCTAAGTTAAAGGTAGCAAGTTTTATCTCTACCCAGTACAAACTTTAATGTTGCGTAATAAATATATTTGTTCCTTTTATACCTAAATACCATACCTACTAAAGTTTACTTAATGATATAGTTATCAAAAAAAAAATCCATGCTTAAGTACATTATTAATTTAATTATTTATTGCATTGTTTGTAGATTGGGGAGCCATCGCAAAATGAAATCAAAGTGGATGGGATAAATAAACTTGTCAATGTTGAAAACAAGTCTTCAGATAATGTGAGCATCCATAAAGCATTGAGATAGCTAGCAATTTTCATATTTTTCATACCTATTTTATTTTTATATTTTACTGTTGTAGGACACAAAGAGTACAGTAAAGGATGTCACAGTAGAAATACTTGAAAAGATCCAAACTACACGAGAGGTAAATGTGTGAAATGTCTTACTAAACATGTGCGAAAGTGGGAATCGAACCCATAACTTGATTTGTAATCCTGGATTGTAAAGTTTAGGGATAAAAATAATAGTTGAATAAACAATGGTCTATTTAAACTTAAATTTTATTTCATGAAACAATTTATGTCAAAGTATATTTAAGATTACGTTAATGAAAACATGTTTCTTTTAACGGTTTCCTTTGCTGTAGGTTGTATCCATTGGCTCAGCACCAAAACCACTCTATACACCATCTAAGAAACCTGAAAGAAAGAATAAAAATGAGAAAAAGGTAAATATAATGACTTCTACTCTAATAGGGATTATGTTAATTTATGAAATTGTTCCTTGAGGTCGCAAGCGGCGAAGAGCCGCTTAGAAGTGTGCCTAACTAAGGCAGATAAGGGATGTGTTATGTAGGCTCGGCCTGAGCCGCCAGGAGGCAGTTCAGGTCAAGCCGAAAGCTTGTTGGGGGGGTCCGAGAGAGAGTTTCTCGCGGTCTGCGCACACTATAGCGAGTGTGGATAGGGGCTGCATAGGTAGCTGTCTCACGAATGAGATGATTTGGGTGGGACTCTGAGGCTTTGGAAAAATCTCTCAGAGAGTGATTTAAGGAACTGATGGATTGTTGGGAGCTCTAAGTCTCGGTGTAGGTCGGCATTACGGACAGAATAGGGCGAGTTAGTGGTCCTACGACAGAATAAATTTTGAACTATTTGAAGTTCATTTATAACTTTGGGGTTGATTTTTTTTAAATACTCAAACATAACTATTTGTATTTCAGACCGCAGATCATGCAGAAAGTATAGCCAATACTGAAATCGAGTGCAGGAAAGAGTTCCATCAAGCCCAAATGGCAAATGAAGAAAGGAAAGCCCGGAACTTGGACCTCGATGAGACATTAATTAAATTAAAAATTGAATATTATAAAACACTTCTAGTTCTAGAAAGTAAATAATTTAAAATTAAAATGTGGAGCTTACTTACTCATACCCTTAATTAGCTAAATGCCTATCGATAAATGCTCGTAGAAGAGCATTATTGGAGTCTCTTCCTCTGGCCTCACCAATTTGAGGTAGAAGTTCAGCATCTACAATTGTATTGAGTTCATCGTGATCTGAAAATTATATTATTATTATTATGTAATATTATATTCATGAATGACTAAAATTATTTGTGTGCAAATTACCTGGTACCGAATCCTGTTGTCCTATTGCAATATTGTGCAACACTGCAAGAGCCACAATTGTAGGTTTCACATTTTTCATGTGTACTGTCATGCCATACAACAGACTTTGAAACCGCTGCTTCCACACTACAAAGCAACGTTCAACACAGTTCCGAGTGGCAATTTGTGCTCGATTATATTTTTCTTCACGCTCATTTTGTGGTCTTAGTATAGGTGTGAATAGATATGGCTCTAATCGATAGCCTGAATCTCCTAAGAGTCTCCCTCTAAACTCTTTTCTTTCAAAGCGCTCCTTAAGAGTCGATTCGTTAAAGATACGGGAATCATGAGTACTGCCTCGCCATCTGGCAACGATGTCTCTGATATACAGCTTAGCATCGCAAACCACCTGCATTAAAATTTTTAAAAAATATGTGAGCACAGTTATGTATGTAGGTAAAATAAATACATAAATACACTTATATATACACATATATATGTATATAAGTAATATACCACCTGGCAAAGAACTGCATTGTATTATTATATGAACTTACTTGTACATTAAATGAATAAAATCCTTTTCGGTTTATATAATACTGAGCTGCATCACCACCAGATTTCTTTATTTTTATGTGAGTACAATCAATCCAACCCAACACAGAAGGGAAATTTCTTATCTCTAATAATTCCCTTACAACCCTTTGCTTTTCTGCCAGAGACTGTGGCATTTTTATGTACGTCTCAGAGTGACGAGCAATAGCGCGGACTACTCTGGCACAAATGCGACTCAAAGTTGGTTGTGTCAACCCATGAAGGTCTCCCCCATCATCTTGAACCTAAAACGGATAGGTACAAAACTGTTTACACACTCATATATGGTATTATTACTTGTATACTAGGAGTTGAGACTTACTTCACGACGTCCCCAACATCTAATGGCAGTTAACACCTGCAATTCTGGTGATGTACCACAACCCCTTGGGTCCAGTTGTAAATCCTGCCTTACAAGATCAATTATAAAAGATGCCGTATGTTTATTGAAACGGTATCGCTTTTTGAACTCTACATCGGGCAAAGAAAACGGATCATATCTCTTCTGGTAAACCTTACGACGACGATGCGGAGCATTTCCTAGTTGCTCCATAGCTTCTAAAGCTTGCAGAGCTTGCATATCGACACTTTTTAGTAATCAAAATCCACAAAAAACAATTTCACCAACAATAACTTAAACGACTTAAACAAACAGCTGTTCGTTGCTCGCACGTAAGTCGGACATATTTTTCTTTATTACAGGTTTTTAGTTGGGTGGACCCTTCTATAACTTATGAAGCCGTTATAGAACACTTATAATGCGTTTTAAAGTTATTAAAGGTTTATGAATAATGTTTTACGGGTACCTCCTTATAACAAGCTAATAAACCTATTTTAACTTTTTATGAATAAGACTGTTAGCATCTAACTGGATTGTACGTTTTTATACAATTACGATATAGTTTCCATTAAAACCCGTTTTATGATCAGCAATGTAACCTACATATTATTGTTAAATTGGAATCGTAATAACCGAATATTATTAAGAAATCTTCGAATTGAGTAATTAAAAATATTTCGATTATAGTGTGTAGTGGAAATAATAGATATTAATATTTATAGTCTGTCAATGCACATAGGTCTGTCAACTTGCTTGAAAATACTCTAAGATAAGTGATACCAACATAGGTAGTTTTGTTTACTTTATATCCCAAAAAATCTAGTATAATAATAATGCCTGCAGCATGTTATAAACCTGAAATAGATCCGTTGGACGTTTTGACACGTGGTGGCAGTGTAAGAAATTCCAACACCTCATTTCGACCCGTGGGTGTTGTAAGAGGCAATTACTACTATTGGAACTGTCAGAAAAATTTCACGTCTTCCGATGGATGGCGGTATACCATCTCGTTAAACCAGACGTAAATTACTCAGAGCACCGATGGGAAACAGCATCAAAAGTGCAAGTCGTCTGGTATTGCGATCATCAGTCCACCAGCCAAGTCTGATTTTTAGGGGAAATCTTTCATACAACGGGAAAGACTCATGTCCAGCTGTGAATTTTAAAGGGCTGAAGAGCACTGAGATGATTAATTATTATCAAATCTGCAATATAATGTCCTGCACACCGAATTTCTGTCACGGTGGCCGGTATTAACGGAGACTTGTCTTCTAGCGCAGAAAAGGGTTTTAGTGCCCAAGTATTTTTCCTTACTCTCATAGTTCGAAAAGACGGTTATCCGATAAGAACAGAGAGAGATCAAGCGCAGGACCAACGGCTTTACATGGTTTTTTGATGCAAGCCGTTAAGACATCAAACTTTAGGCTGCTATTGAGAATGTTTTCACAAAAAAAAAACTCAGTAACTGATTTATGCCCGACCCGGGATTCAAAACGAAATCTCATGATCAGTAATTGCATTTACAACTACTACACTGATAAGGCAATTAAAATGCAGTCTATGTATACTGAAATTTAACATTATTTAAAATGATTTTCGTCTTATTTCTGCTATATATAAGGTAACCCGAAATTACTTTTTTTATTTGCTGGCATACATAGCCGAAGCATTGTTTATTCCAGTGGTCTCATTTTTGCTTCGTTAAGTGCTAATCCGGAACACGACTCAGATTTTGTTAGTAAAAGGAATGAGCGGAATTAAAAATTTTGCGACACCAGTATCTGGTCACTTTTTGTCCAACCCTATTCACAAAAACACGTTGCAGAGGGGTTCCATCCATGTAATATTGATGATGACTCGTGTTATGTGCACGGCTAAATGATAGAATAGAACATTTCGACATCTGTTCTCTGAGAGCATTATGCGAGGCACTAGTAAAAAGTCATTTAGAATACAATGCTGTCGTTTGGACACCACATGAAGCCAAATATAATTCAATGCTATAACGTATTCAGAAAAAAATTGTGAGATTTATGTATTTAAAACAATATGGCGTGTACCCGGGTTATCCACTGTTGTACCCTACTTTATTCATACTAGGCATGATAGGCTATTATAAACTAGAAATAAGAAAGGAAGTTGTTCTCGCCATTCACTTACTAAAAGTGATCCCTGGTAAAGAATATAACCCAGGTATTCTACAGAAAGCTAAGCTGTGTGTCCCTAATGAGTACGTAGGAAGACGGCGGCGGCCGCCGCTTTTATCGGTGCCGAAAGCGCGCACCAACTAGCTACAGCACGCGTCTTTGACGCGCGCGTTGTGTGCACTTAACGTGGCCTCACAACATTTTGATTTGTACAACTGTACTCTGAATGAATTCACAAAGGCCGCTTATTGTAAAATATATTTAAGTTGTGCATAATATACTTATATTATGTTTGTTCTGGTTTCTAACTTTGTAACACACCTGTGATGATAGTTGTAAATGGCAAACAAATAAATAAATAAATTTCATAATAATTTACTAATAACATAAAATGATTAAATGTATTAAATAGTGCAAGTTGTTTTATTTTCTGTCTAATATACTGCGATTAATAACAGCAATAATATAATTATGTTAAAAAAATTGTTACAAACAATGAAAATTAATTCAGACTCAAAAAAATTGCTGTCCTTTTTTTAAGCTAAACCAGTAAGGATACATCCTAAACATCTGGAACACATGATATTATAACTTTATTATTTCTAAATTGTGTAATTATGATAAAAACCGACTAATTGACTGACAGACAAATCAACTTTTTAAATCTTCATAACTTTTATTCCCTAGTGTCTAGCTAAATGCACTTTTATAATTCTTTATATAGAATATCTGTACTTTCAAATGGCATAGATTTCATGTCTGTATTGTCTGGGGCACAGACTCATACTAAGTCAGGTCATAAGTTTTGTCAAAAACTTTTTTTTTTAAATCAATGATACACTTTTTGACAATTATATAGAAATTATAAATGAAACGAAAGGTAATTTAATTTAGAATACAATTTTATTTAAATTATTCAAAATGTCCCCCCTATTAATGCCCTTCAATATATGCCCTTAATCGACGTGGTCAATCATCAATCGCAGTACGCACCACACTCATATGTATTTCAGCCGCTGTTTTAGCCAAATATACTCGGAGAGATTCCAAATTCTGATGCGCAGACTTTTTCCTCGAAATATTGCTACATCTTATAATCCAGTGGGCTTAAATCTAGACTAGAAGAGGGCCAGTCTTCATGTCCGATAAAGTCAATTCCATGGGTGGTGGTTAACCAGTTTTGCGTGCTTCGTACTATATGAGCTGGCGCAGAGTCCTATTTAAATACCCAATTTCTATTTTTGAACATTGTTTGAGAAAGAGGTTCCACTGTGTTTGTTAGAACAGTATTTTGGTTTGGCTCTGGTTTTTACACCTTTTTCACAGAAAAACACCTCAGTTAAGCCTGAATATGAGACCCCAAACCAAACCATGAGTGACGAAGAAAGTGTGCTCGTTGAACCCTCTCGAATTATATTTTTTTTTTCATCGAAAAGAATAAGTTATTTTTCTACAATTTGAAAATTAATGAAAATTAATGTCTTTTTTGTTTCGGTAACTGCAAACTTTATATTTTTAAAATTGGTGAAGTTCATCTAGCCAGTATTCAATAATTTTAAAAAGGTTTTGACAGAACATTGACCCGACTAAGTAAAATTTTTGGCCATCTCATTTCGGAGGTATTGTTAAACACTTCTTTCAGTAGGTAGATGGGGTATCTATAGAATTAAAAGCATTCCGTAGGTCAATCTTCACAAGAATATCTACATTAGAATTATAGGTAAGGTATGAAATTGCGATTAACATTTCCAGAATGTATAACATTACACAATTTTATAACATCATTAAGAATTACGCCACCGGAGTCACTGGCAGACGTGCTTACAAGATCTTTAAGCTATTGAGGCATAATCACGTCAATGCCGCCAGCAGATCCATTCAAAAATGACAAGTTTAAAGTGTCCTTTTTAGAAATTTTGAAATTTGCATAGAAGTGTTGGGAAGCTGTGGTAAATTCTGAGAATGATTGTCCGAACCATGCTTCTGACGAAGGCCTTTAAAAGTTTCGACATTAGGAGGAGCCAGGATATCGTCAAAGAATAGAATACGGGATGCATTTTTAGCCGTCATCCATTACTTTCGATTCAACTGCTTTCTTTAATCATATTTAGGACAACGTCAAGATAATCGAATATTAATGGGGTAAGTTAAATTTTTAAAAGATGTCTTTTTGAGTTGAGACGTAATTTATTTATTTATTGTTTTATTAATATGCAAATGGGAATATCGGAAAGTAAATAATTCATTTATTTAACCATATATTCCCGTACAGGGAATGCACCTACCTTTATTTACAGTTTTTTAATGTCTTGAAATTTTATAAGTAAGATGCTGCAGCACATATTCTGTTTTATGTTTTCCTTCACGGGAACAGACGGGGTAGTAAAATCTCTTACTACCATTTACGATTAGGAGATTGAAAACACATACATTTTATATTAATGCATGTTACACGACTAAGTAAATCCAACTTCGATCATGAGGTCAATCAACGGATTCAGCTCGAATGGGCAACGTTCTTTTGTCAGGTATACCTCAAAACCTGAAAACCAGATTGTACAACCCTTGCGTTTGCCAGTGATGTCTTATAGATCTAAAAATAATACTTCACTACTGGTGTATAGGACACGTATTAATGTGTGTCACACGTATGTAATTACACTATATTTTATATTAATAGGTGAACATCGTTCACATATAATGTATGATGAAGTAAAGGCGAAATTTCGTCAAGCTTAATGAATTTTGCATTCTACATTATTTGTAGTTAATTTTTTGTGTGTCTCTGAGGTAATCGGTTACTTACTTAACTTGAATGTAATAATAGTACACATGGATATTTGCAAAGTGTTTAAAATGTCTCTGTCCGGTAATAATACCGTTGTGATATACGAAATGGGAGGACACCTTTTTGCCTTGAAGTGAGTTTAGATAGGCACCAGCCACTTACCTATTTCTGTAGCAAAATGTTTGCATTATTGTGTTTATGTTTTATACCGCCATCAATTGCAGTGTTCCGGTTTGATGGGTTAGGAATCTAGTCTAAATACAGTCTGTGAGACTTTTAATTTCATGCCTCAAGAAATGGCTTTT